ATGCGCCGCCAACGCATCTCCTTATGCCGGAGCTTATGGTATGCCCTCAAACTATCCTCCGTCCTGTAGGTGCTCTCTGGTCAATGCGGACACAGCATCACGGCTGACGATAACCCAGCTCAATACCCTCTGTCAAATGGTTACGGCCCCGCCCCGCCCTATGGCTACTCAAATGGCGGAATACCCGAGTATGGCCGCACAGAATATGGCCAGAACCAGTTCCAGGCACGCAACTCTATCGGTGGCGCAGGTGCTCCTCAGGGGATGTACACGCGCAATCTCATCGGCAGTCTCGCTGCAAGCGCTTTCAGACTGTCTGATGTGGCAGAACACATTGGCATCTGGTTTATTCTCCAGGATCTGAGTGTCCGAACCGAAGGCAGCTTCCGGTACGTGCAGCAAATTCGAGACTCCATCACAGACGACGGACTAACGTCATATTCCAGCCTGCGGTTCTCTTTCGTGAACGTCGGACCACCCACCCGGGCGCCGAGCACGAACCCCTCTAACCCAGGAGCCGTCACCAGGTCCGGCAAGGCACCGATCCTGGCGTGCTGCTACAGCGAGCCTTTCACGGTCTTTTCTGCCAAGAAGTTCCCAGGTGTTTGCGAAAGCACGAGCCTCAGCAAGTGTTTCGCCTCTCAGGGCATCAAGATCCCGATTAGAAAGGAAGGCCAGGACAACAAGCGGGGCAAGGATGACGACGATGACGATTATTAAATGACGCGCTGCTCATCCAACTGCCCATGTTCTGGTGGTTCCTCATCCACGCAAAGGGGGACGGGGTTTTGGGGTGGTGCGACCCCCTTGGACTCTCAAGGCGTCAGTCGAGAAGTTTGGATGATGGCAAACTTCCCACTTGTGGCGAGGGAGGGCAGAAATGGTGGTCAGTGAGGCCGCAGCGATTTGGCGAGGCCAGGCATGTCTACAGCCGACTTGTCGTGGGTCATGACGCGACAGTATCATGCCTTCTCGTGTGGATGTTGTACTTTTTTTTTTTCTGCGGGTGTTCAACAGATACCAGGTCTTGATTGTCTCGCGAAAAACCCTCACAGACGTGATGAATTTACCCCCCCTGGTTCCGGATCAGATATAGCCCCGTGTTGAGACATGCCAGCTTCTCGTGTACCTCCCCCTTCCCCCGCAACGGGCCTAACTTGGTTCCCGTGTCTCAGCCATGTCCGTACCAAGCCAGCCCAATGGATCTAGCGTGGCCTTGTTTGTGATACAATAGCTAGGTCCTGGTGCAGCAGGAGAACGGCCGGAAACCCACCGAGGGCCGCCCGCGAGATCGGGAGATGGCAGCCGGCCGGAATCGGGGGGCCATGCAAATCCATGGCGTCACGA